GCACTTCCGGTAGAATGTCAAAATAAAATGAACAGTGTGCCAGAAACGAATAAAGATTGCATGAACTTGTATAACACTACATAACGTGAGTGGTGACTCTTAAGGAGCCAGAACACACTCTTTATTGGCCAACTTAACATTTTACTAAGCAACAGTTTAATACTGAATAACAGTAGATTTTAATTTTGTTTAATGTGAGCAAAAATTTCTTAAAGCCAGATCCGTCATGGCTTTTCTCACTGTAATGACTACAGAGTACAAACTTTACCAACAGCTAGATAAGTATGTAAAAACATGCTGAGTCAGACACCCACAGACGTGTTTTAAAGAGAAGAAGATGTGGTATTTTCCTGTTGCACTGAACAATTAACGGGTGTCAAAATCCATGGGCTGTATTCTCCTGAGGCCACATTTGTAGACCGATTACGTCGTTGTGTCGCTGTGTCCAGATTCGCAGACTCCTCCAAATGCAGCTGGCAAAGGTATCATCCTTTTTCCTGAATTGGGTCGGGTGTATCCTTTGTGGCCCACCATATCCCAGAATTCATAGTGCTGACCAGACAATTCCAGTTTTCAACAATGGCTGCCGCTACTAAGTTTTAATATTACTCTAATTACTCTTTCTGTGTTTCTGGTAAATAAACTTTTAAGATATTTTTAGGCGAGAATGTAGTTGTTTAAACTTCACATATCTGCTCGGTTTATCAAGACATCACATATTTGCAAAAGTGCTCCGATGTTTTCGGTGATATCTGTTACCCACCAGCTCGATAGGTAGCCAAGGGCGGTGACGCAAAACTGAAGTCCAATTTCCGCTTACTTCGGAGGTCCCGGCAGATTTCCTATCAAAATTGCTTAATAAACATTTATTTTGTTTATTTTTATTTTATTAGCATTTTCCTTAAATGTGTTAAATATATATTTTCTCATCTAAATGTCCACTGAGCTGTGAGCCAGGGGGCGGTAATGCACCTTAACATTGGTTTCCAACCAAGAAGAAGAAGAAGCTGTGCGCCAGGAGTGAGGGGGTGAGTGATTCGTTCCTGCTATGATTCAGCACAGGAGGGAGGGGCTGAGTAGCTCAAATGTGCTGTTAGCATGTTAGC